TAGCCTATCTAAAAGGAAGGAAAACCGCACGTCTGAAACAAACAGAGTCTGCTATGAATAGATAGTCTTTGCGCTATGAAATAACTCATGTCATACCTATATACTGACTTTTGCATATTGGGAAAGGAAATGTAGACTTATTTTTGGCACCCACTACACTGTACATACGGAACACAGAAAGCAAAGTTAGGGTTAGAAAGGGTAGAGAAGCCTCCTGTCAATCAGTACAAACAGCAAGGAAGGTCATGCAGGAATTGGATTGGCCCAAAACTAATTCCTAGATGTGATGCAAGGCTGACTGACAAGGATGAATTTAAAATTTCTGGTACCCGTGTGGCATCCAGCATTTTCTGTGGTTCATGTCAGTGTTCACAGTGGCCTTCTGGTAAACCTCAGCTTCTAAACTTTGCTTTTGCAGCTTTTGTTTAGTTGGAGGAAATACTGCTGGAGCAGCATCTCCAGTTCTGTTCCAGGTGTATGGAATCTTTGATGGCTGCCAGGAGCAGCACAGTGAGTCTGAAGACCAAGACGCTCAGCTCGTCTTTGTGAGGGACAAAACAGAAAACAGGTAACTAGAAGCTATGTATGAAAAAGTGCTTATACCCAAAAGCTGAATGAGCTGTTTGGCATCTCAAATGTGTTTGATAACTTCTCAGAGACTGATAAGCAGCCTAATGGAGTAACCACCAGAAGAGGCCTTGAAAAGAATACTCATGTAAATTTGTCTGTATAGGAGGTCTTCATATTGTCACTTCACCAGGTTATTTCGTTGCAGTCAAGATTGTAGTTTTGCTGATCCTATTTATCAGCAACAACTAGAAAGTCTTGTGAGGATGGAAGAGGATATATGTGATATAAGACCACTACCTAGAGTGGACTGGGAAGCTGGAAACCTGTCTTTTTTTCCCTATCTTCCTAAAGCTCTTCCTTAGTTAAGGCCTAATTTAAACATACTTCACAGTTAAGCAGAAGTCCTGAAATACTTGGATTATTTCTTGTATCTTTCATTTATGGACTACATGAATATCCACCTTCTTATGATCATAGAGAAAGTGTAAAAGTATGTTCTTACAGGGTCAAATACCAGACTTTTCTAATTGTTTTCTAATATTTTCAGTTTTTTACACTCGTCTCCTGATTTTGGACACCTTATTTTACAGAACTGCATGCTAATTGTTGGCAGTACTTTATAGTGCACAGAAACCTTGCAAATATTTGCTAGTGCTAGTCCTATTTTAAGTTAAATCTGTACTAGGGCATTATGTTTGGTCATGTTTGTAGAGTCTGAGCCTAAAAATGTATCTTGTTCTTGTCTTTTCTTGCTTCAAGTTTCCACTTCTTATGGAACCTAAGTCCCCTTTTGATGGCAAGATGCTCAGATGGTCATGTGTACCCTTCCTAATTTTGCTGCTTTCCCAGATAATTGCATATGCTGCTACTGCTCCAGTTGCAGTGTCTTCACCACTCACTCCTGCCACTCAGTTGTGTACTGCTCTTTGTCTGTAAGTATTTTGCCAGGTATGGGCCTTGCTTTGTGATTTAACTGGACTGCTGCTATTCACAGTTCCAGCAAGAAAAGAACATGTTAAAGCCATTGTAAAATAATCGGCACCACATGAAATTGAGAAGGTGGGATCCAATAATCTGAAACCCAGATGGTCTCTGGCAGTGAGAAGTAGGAGAGCTGTCATGCTGAAAAAGACCCAGAACTCAGCAAACGAACTAAGTTAATGATGTGACACAAGAAAATTAAAGGCAGAGTGATTCTGAGCAATATATGTAGCTGTGTCCCACTCAAGAGATTGAACTCTCTGTAGTCTTACCTATGCTAGCATTCTCCACACGGGTAGTACAGCTATTGGGGTGGCAGCAATGATGGACAGTAACTGTGAATTAACAAGGTGATAGATCTACCAGCATGTGGAACAGTCTCTCTGAGGGGGGGAATAGCATTTGGATTAGCAAATATAATTGGACAACACTTTGCTGAGATAAGGACGCATGTCAAATGGGAGTGGGGGAGAAGCCTGATTTCACTGTATGTGAAATAATAATTATGTAAAATGTGAAATAATATGTGGGCATATAATTTTTGACTTCTGTTACCCTCCATAGGAATACATTTGTAAAATCTGTTTTCTGGTCTTGAGTGCTTTGGTTTTGAGTAGGAGCCCATGTAATCTTTGGACTCTAACAGGCTGGCTAGCTGTTGCTGTTGAACACTACTGCCTGCTTGACCAGTTAATGTTTATAATACATCTTGCAATGGTGGGGGTAGGTTTTTTTCTATTAAATATCCGAGGGGATACCATGTGGCACTGAGTCATTGTCCTCTGAATAGTCCCTGTGCTGCTACTGCAAATAAATTTACCAGTTTCCGTCTTAATAGCTTGCTTTAGAGCCAGTGCCACACTTCACACCCTATTCTGGACCCTCTCCAACAAGTTAATGTCTTTCACTGAGGAAGGTGAGTAAAACTGATGAGAGTATCCTTAACTAAGGAGCCATAAAATTCTAATAAAGCAGTAATGTTCCCAGCGAGCCTGAAGGGAATCAGATCAATAGTTATGAGGCTGAGGCTCAATTTATGGCCTTAATTCATCAAGCATAGTCATTCTCCATTTTTGTACAGGATGCTTTTGAGGTTCCTGCTGAGCAGAGGAGTATAAAGTCAGCACAAGCCCTTTCTTGACAATTCCCCAGGCTTTGTCATTTAAGAATAGGTGATTCTATAGAGGTGGTGATCAGGGTTCTGTGACCTATTTGAAAGTATTTTTTTTTCATTGTATAGGACAGACTGTACCAACTGCATTTGTTCTGCGTTTCAGGCTTGGAGTGGTTTCACAGTGAGTGAAAAAGGAAGTTATTTTGGATCTCTTTAAATTTTGGCACTGCAGTTATTATATGCCTGCAAACCAGTCCACAATCAGGTATGGTTCAGTAGTATGTTCTCCAAAAATCCTTTTACTGCCTTTTGTAGACCCCTTGCAATAGATTTTGTAAGGGGTGGATGGGGGCTGGGCTACCTCTATGTTTCTAAGCTGCCTCTGTGGTAGAAAGTTTTTCCAGCTGCTCCTGACACAGGTTTGATCTCTTTAAGTTTCCAAAATAGTATAAGAGCATGGAGGTAGACAATGAAATGCCATCCAAATGTTTTGTGAAAGCCATTATGTAAAAAGTCAGACCTTTCCAAAGACGGAAGTAAAGGCAAGTTTTATGTAGCCACTTCCCACCAGTGGCAGAAGAATGAAGTAGACAGAAACATATCAAACAAAATGGAAAAGCCTTACTTAAAGCCATCTCAGTAATCTCTGTATCTACTTGTCATTCTCACATACACAGGTTAGCAGAATGAAGTTTTAAGTATCTTGAAGTGACAGGAGTGTCATGTAAGCATACAATAAAATCCTAACTGGAGAGGGCTCTCAGTTAACACTTGACCAAAAACGTTTTGTGTCATTCATCCAAATATAATTTCTTAAGTATGCTTCTAGGATTCCCATCTCTTACACCATGTACAGATCCATTGGCTAACAGCCTAGACCTGCACATGATCTTCATTGTACAGATTCATTCCTGCTTTTGGATGTCAGTGCTTTTTATGTGAAATACTCCCTGGTATAACCTCTGACTTTAAAGGATGCCTGTAAATATTTGCACTGTTTGGGGAAAAAAAAAAAACAACCAACAAAAAAAGGTTGGCCATTTTCAGAGAAATGGAAGACGTGCAGAGAGTTGAAATGCAGGTGATGGCTTTTCTGACAGCCCACGGGGGCTCTGGGAAGCCAGGGCTCCTGGTTCTTTCTCAGACCTCTCCCTGCAGCAGCATTTTCCCTGCTGCCAGCAGCTGCAGCGGACGGGAGGCAGGAGGAGCTGGAAAGCCCGAGCTGTTACCTAAGCCAACAGCGACATCCAGGGCTTCCTCAGCACAGGCAAGCCCTTCTCTGACCTGCTCCCCCGTGCCCCATGGTGCCTGGAAAACGTTCCGAGATTTAGCTCTTTTCCGTTTCTGAATGGCTACACTGATTGAGAAGGAAGTGATATTTTACTGTAGTAATTTTACTGATAGAAAACCCGTGTACTGGTGCACCGAGAGTAAATTAGATCAGCCACAGGCACCTCTATATTCAATCAACTGCATTCACATGAAGTGGATTGTACTTTTTCATCTCTATCAAAATAGTTAAGATGGTATTATTTGTTTGCAGCTAAGGTCAAGACAGCTTATAAAACCTCCTATTCCTGCTTCCTCACTACATTAAAATACTCACTGAGGACATACTGAAATTATTTTAGTAATAAATGTATAAACTGAGATGAACAGTAGACTCAAGGAGTATGTCACCATCGAAATAACAGGTACAGGTTCTATAACAGTGAACACTGAGTCAGACTTTTATTAAAATGACCCTGAATAACCCCCAGAAGGCACATACCTGAACAAACAGTGGTAAAATGATTAGAGAGGTAAGAGAGTATCAGGCATTAATGACTCTACAAAAATATTTCAACAGAAGCAGAAAAACACCTTAGAATTGATCAGGACACATGATGTACAGAGAACAACCCAAATTAGACACCAGTTGTCTGTACTTTCCACTTCCAGAGAATGTGGCAGTCGCTGGGCTACTGGCCGTATCACCAATGTACAGCCCACACGGCTGCTGAGGTAGTTTCTTGCTTGCTTTTCCAGCCCAGGCTTGCTTCAGATCTGAAGGGAATACCTGTTCCTCTCTGCAGGGCAGTAGGCAGCTCAACTGAAAAAGCACCAGGCTGAAAGAGCAGCAAATGAAGTAGACTAATGACTGTAGTTTTACCACCAAGCAGAGAAGTTGTGGAGGGGATGAACAAGTTCACAGTTTGTATGTTCCAGCTGAGAAGCTGAGGTTGAGTAGAAAACAAATAAATTAAATTGGTGTTACAGCAATTTAAAACATACAGGTGCAAACCACTGATTCTACTTTGAAACAGCGTGAAAAGTTACAGAGTTCAGAAAGTAAAATCAGGACTAAAGTGTCTGAAGCTGAGCATCCAAAATGTGAAGTATCCATGAATCATTTCATTCTCATGAAAATGTGTTAGTCCATAAAATAATTGCACTTTCATTTATTTGCTGGTTGCTTTCAAGCTGTTCCCATGTTTAGTAGGATTTATACTGAAATAGTTATCTTTCTACCTCATTTTTCAAGGAAAGATAAAGCAAACTTGTTCATTCCTTCCATGACACAGCTGGAAATGGGGTATTTAGAAAGCCAGCAACCCATACACGATCAATGTGAGAGTGTTGCTACAGTCTGCAGCTCCATACTGCTGGCTTTCCTTCGCACTTTTTTTTCCTTCAGAATTTGGCAAGAAAGGTTATTTAAAAACCAGTCTACATCTTGGTAATCTTCAGGCCACCGCAAATATTGACTCCTTTGTAAAAAGTTTCGAATTGGTTTATGTTTCATCAGTTGATATTGAGAAAGTGACCCAACCACTACCATAATGAGGACATCTTTCAGATCACAAAAGTACCTGCTCTGGGCAAAATTAAAGGCTTCCACACACCACCCATCTTTGAGAAACTGCCTGGTCACAATGCAAATTGTTTTCCTGCTGTTCCAAATGGCATCACGAATATTACTGATATGTTCTTCTCCAGGCAAGAAATCTCTTTCCTCAAAGCACAAAGTAAATCTGTTTTTATCAAAATACTGTGAATCCAGGTGCTTTAGCAAAGAATTCTGGACCCATTCAAAGTCATTTTTGCTGTAGCACAAATATGCATCATATCTGTATTCACTTTTATCTTCTACTTGTGGATGGTTACCTATAATTTTTTTGGTGATAGTTTTATACCAGACAAAACAAATCCCCCGACAGCGAGTAAAAATGATGACTGCCATCAGAAACATGAGAAGAGTGATGGAGGTGAAGAGGAATACTGAGAACCTGAGTGTCTGCTGGAGTTCATCTTCACTGCAATCATCATATGTCAGAGACGACAGTGGTACCCCTGCAAATGCAGGTGGGTATACACAGTACCTGTCAGACTGTGAGCCAGCAAGTGTTACATTGGTTTCATTTAGCCACACCAGTAGGCTCTTTAAAGTACAATCACAGACATACTTATTATGTGTTATATCCAGAATACTCAAAGTCATAAAGACTTCAGGCTCAGGGGAAAAAAGCTGGTTCCCAGATAGGTTTAGGTTTGTTAGGCTTTGTGGGAAAAGCCCAGGAGGAAGATGAAACAACTGGTTGTAAGCTAGATTAAGTCTTTTCAGAGATGTTAGACCTCTAAAAATACCCTGTGGAAGAGCACTAAGGTAGTTGTTATTCAGATGTAGAACCTGTAGTTTGGACAGTGCCCTGAACACATCCAAACATAAATCTCTCTCCCACACAAGCTGTAACATATTTTCACCTAGATCCATATAGATTAACTGATTGTTTTCTATAACATTATCACTTTTCACACAGTAAGAGAAGCGATTCTGTTTTAAGAAGATATACTGCACATCTGGAACTTGGAAAAGAATATACAATTCACCCAGGTTTGCCAACCAATTTCTTTCTAATTCAAGGTGTGTTGCTGCTATTTTTGTGTCAGCTATAGACATTAGCTTATTGTCACCTAAAAAGGCAGAGGTCAGAGGTGGAAAGGAAGGGAGTTTTTTAATGGCATTGTCTCGGAGATCAATTATTTTCAGACTTACTAAGTTACTGAATGATTTTCCACCAATCATCCCAATATGATTTTGCTGTAAATCAATACACGTTACGCTATATAGACCCTCAAAAGTATAATCATACAACTCACCTAAAAGATTACTTGAGAGATTGAGAGTTTTTAGGTTTCCTAAGCCAAAAAATGCTTCCCTTTGGATTTGATTTATCTTGTTTTTGAAAAGGTTCAGCAATTCCAGATTACCAAGGCTTTGAAAGATTAAAGAATTGAGAGAGAAAATGTAACCATTTGAAATATCAAGCAAATGAAGATCACTTCTTGCTAGCCCTGCAAATGTATCATTATCTGGATTTTTTAAATTATTAAAGCCAAATCCTGAACCCATTGTATGAGAGCTAAATACTAAAGAACCGATTTGAGTCCCTTTAATGGCTCTACAGAAATATTGGACTTTCTCTGTGCTCCAGCCATTGTCACTAAGGTCTAGTGAATTAAACGTAATATTTCTGAAAGGATTTGCGCATTTGTCCCAGGCTATTTCATCTGTCTTGTACAAATTATTAGAACTGAGGCTAAAAAATAAAAAGTGTTTTCCTTGGAAGCTGGTAAGATTGCTTTCACATAGGTTGGATATCTTGTTGAATTTCAGGTTCACAGTTTTCAAGACTGTTAGGTTATAAAATAAGGGGTGAGGCTGAAGTTTTGTGATTTGGTTCCCCGAAAGATCCAACTCTTCTAACGAGCTCAAATCTTGAAAGTAACGTTTCTCCAGGATGGAGTCTCCAAGGTAGTTCTGAAACAGACGGAGTACAGTCAGACTTTGCAAGCCCACAAAAGCATCAAGATCCAGTTGAAGAATCCTATTGTATCCCAAGTCTAAGAGACGAAGGTTTGGCAGGTTCCTGAAAGCTCCTTTTCCTATAGTAACAGGATAGACATACTGCATTCCGATTTCCAACAGCAACAAGTGCTCCAGCAGAGGAAATGAAGTTGCAGTCACTTGTCTGATATAGTTGAAAGTTAAAACAAGCTTCACTGTATCCTTTGGCACAAGTGGAATATCTGTGAGGTTGCAGTAATAATATAGGGAGACTTGGGCTTCTGAGTAACAGCTTTTAAATGCACATATATCACTAGCCAGTGATATTCCAAAGACAAGTACTAGCTGTTGATGTAACATCACGAATCTATGTGAAAAAAAGTGAAAATAGCAAGCATTAATTCTGCAGTTGGCTATCTATGTAGTAAGTTGTAGAGCACATTTTTAACAGTTGTAGAACAAAAGACTGAAACTTACTAGTGATCTGGGGTTTACCCTTCTCTGAAGTCTAACAGGCATCATCTGACAGGCTTGCTGGTTAGAAGATGGATCCCAAAGAGATGCGAGCACCTCCTATGTCCTGAAAAGTGACCCTCCTTTATGTTAAGTACCTTAAGGGCAGCACCAAATCCCTGCTAGGTAAGCCTGAAAATCTTGGCCTAGCTATGTCGTTTGCACCATGGAACTGGTGAAGCTGTTGTATTCGCTTAATTCCTTAATCAGTTATCCAAACAAGTTTAAACAGTTTGGATTGATAAAGTGTGGCCATCCAGTCATCTCAACAGAGCAGGCCAAGCTGCTCCTTCCTTGAGCACTCTCCTTTTGAGGGCAATCATGCTATTGGGAATTCAGATTGCTGTCACACAGAGTGCCTAACAGACATGAGTTTTTAAAAGGGGGACCTCTTTTGGGGCTCCCTGAGCCTCAAATTAAGCCTGCAATGTGAAATTGTTCTTGAAAGGGTTGTAAAACAGTTTTGAAAGTATAGGCAGGAACAAGGCTAACAGCGAAGGAAAAGAAAAAACACAGTACCCTGAAATTATGCTGCAAAATTTCACATTTTCCTGAACCAGAAATTCCTAAGTTATACAAAAATGTGTATAACATAAATTATGCAGCTCACTGACATATCCATTTATTCATTTATTCCCACTCTGGATTTTTCTTGCATTATGCCATCTGTCTGCCTGTCTCTTTATCTGAGACAAATACCTCTTCAAAGCAAGTGAGGTCTTTTTTATTGAGCATGGTAAAGAACAGAGCAAATTATTAGCCCTAAAGTGGTTGGTTGTGTACTGTAGTTTAAAAAAACTTCTAAGATTGCAACCACCTGCCTCTCCTTTTAAAAAAGCATATCTTGAAATGAAATGACAACCCAGTGGAAGAATTTTTGCGACCTCCAGCACAATTTGCTAAAAATTGTTAGGTGTAAATCTTCATGGAACCAAACCCCCACTGGCCATCTAACATCTGCAAAGTAAATTTACTTCAGAGAGGAAAAAAGTTGGGGTTTGAGCCAGTAAATTAAAGAGAGCAAAACCCTGCTAATTATTATTATGATCTGAGCACACGGCTTCTTTAAAGCACAAGTACAAAATTCTATGCAGAATATTACACATGAACTAAAATCATCTTACACTTGTTGCCATCGTACAAAGTGATTTCTGAGAAATTAAAAAGTATGTCAGTAGAAACCACTATGATATTCCCATTGCAAATACCAAGTGAGCTAGCCATTTTTAGAGACTATCTGCTAAATAGGAAGTACAAGGATATTATAGTACCATCAGATCTCCTGTACCTAACATTTTTGGTAGCTGTTCTCAAAGTCATTTGATTAAACTAAAACCTGAACATGTAACAGCTGTGACTACTAGGGTGAGTCTGCAAATTTCCACTCCAGAGGCAAAAACACCAAGTGGGAAACATGCATACCTTGCAACTTAAAATACTGATCTTGTAATTTTTTAAGAAATTTTATGGTTTTGGGACAAGATCTGATTCCTGAAAGTAAAAGAGATAATGAATACAGGATAGAGTGCTGAATTCGGAGGTCCTGACATTCCAATTTCATTCACATTTTCTCACTAAGGAATTTAGGATGCGTTGCAAAGAAAATAAAATTGCAGGTAGCGTGTATCAAAATTCTGTTAAGAGATTTTACCGCATCTATGGGGAATAATTCCTAGTACAACAAAACTACTGGGTTTTCTGCCCTCTTTTTTTGACCTAGTGTGCATTGTTAAAAAGGGACAGTACAAACAGGAAACTATGTTTGTCTTTATGACTTCAAAATGTTGTAGGTTATTAAAAAAGACACAACTAAACACACAGCAGATCATTCAAGATCTTGTTTACTTTCTACTTTTCTTTCTGCTTGAGCCATGAAAACAAAACACCAAGTTTCCCTTTTATTGTTTATTAATGATGGTTCTTGTTGACATAATATGTTTAGCACAGATAGTTTTAAATTACATTTATCTTTCAATTTACATTTTCATTCCTTTTATTTGTCCTTGTGTTTGTCCAAATGCTATGGCTGGTTTGGGCAAAATCAGAGCACCACTAAAAGCAGTGACAAATAGGAAGTACTCTGGAAATCAAAATTTAAGAGATGTGTTTCAATTTTCACAAGAGAAAGCTAAAATGTTTAGAGCAGAAGAATTAGAAAGCATTGTTATCTTTATATTAATATATGTTATATTGTTATCTTTAAATCTATAAATGTAATTCTTATTTTCTAATGATAAAAATAAAAAAATGGTGAAACATTTCTAGCCCCCTTTGCTTTTACACTTCCCTGCTTTTCCACATACTTCTAAGTTTAAAAAGTCTCTAACAATCTCTTAACAGTTGTTACACTCTACCTCTGCTCTGGTTTGGTGACAAGGAAGATTTAATTTGTAAACTCTTTGCTCCCTCAGGTTTTTTCCGCATAAGTTACTACCTTCTCCCTCAAATCTTGGCCCTCCATGAGCAGGAGGAGGATGGTGGCAGTAAGTAATGCCTCTTACTGCTATCATGAGGACGGCAAAGTTTTTTAATTTAACAGAATCTCTCCATGTAGCATTTCAGACAACACTTCATTGTTCATTATCACCTAAAACCTTTTGGTAAGAATATTCTTCCCACAAAATGATGATCATCCCATTCAGTTATGTGCCTGTGCATGGACATGGAGATCAAGGGATGTGTAAATGCTTCATTCATTATTGAAAACTGGAGTAATGAAGTTCAAGGAACCAGAGCTCAGCACGTGAGATTTTGTTGCCTTCTACTGCATTGATGTCAGAAGAAGTAAGCGGTAAAGGGAAGGGGGAAAGTAGAAGGGGAAGTAAAAATGCAGCAAATGCTTTTGGGATGGAAAGTCTGAAGCTGGGTATGTTTCTGAGCAATGGGAAGAACTTTTACAGTGCGGGGTGGATATTCTACCTAGATCTAAAGGTAGCAAGTGAGTGCATACAGAATGCAGATACTTTAAAGCTCTGGTCTCAGCCTCCTCAGGAAGTGTGTGTCTGGATCAGGGAAGGCCAATGCAAATGCTTTGAGTCATCTGGAACTAACCAACATTATTGTAAAAGCTTTTTTAAAAACTCACTTTTGTTAACTTGGTTTTAAATCACCTAGAAACATTCACTAGCATAGCAAAAAAGGAAAGGAACTGACAGTACCTGAGAGTGGATGTTGTAGTAGTGCCTGTCCGTCTCAGCACAGCTGCGTATACCTTAGGACATCCACAGAGGCTGTCAGTAAGCAGGGCCTGAAGTAGAGCTAAAGAGGAAGACCAAGACTGTTTCCTTTTCGATGTACACAAGCCAGGAAAGAAGTTAGAGTAACAACTCTCCCATGGAGAGTTAGAAAGTCCTTGCCATTCCCTTTTCCACACCCCCAACAAAAATGCACTGGAGTCCCCATAAATAAAGAACGGGTTACATACCCTATTTTTGTCCTTGGTGATGGCCAAGAGTATTTGCTTGCTTTTTAAAAGAGTGATCTGAAAGGAAAATTTTGGTCTCAGAAGTGGTTTTGTGCAGCATTCAGTAGCATGCTCACTCTCTTCAGCAGCCTCCCATGCTTCTGCCACATAACTCGAGGTCAAATATTAACCAGCACATGCCAGTGGAAGTGATCAGACACGTACTGTAGGTGCTCATGAAAATGAGCAGTGGGCATAAATGGTTCTCATTTGTCAGCCATAGGTTTTGGAGAACCAAGCAGCAGAGGCACTGGCTATCTGGGTGCACTCTGGAGAAGGCTATTCTGATATAATTATCAGTAAGATTTAAAGAGTTTAAAAATCTTTTCAATAACCTATTGCAGTGACCATGATATCCTCCTAAGGAGATTTTTCCTAGATCAGTCAGAGAAACTGTGTGCCCACTACAAGCACAGATTGCCTGAAATAATTAAGGGATAAACATTAAGCCTACTGCCAAGTTGGAAGGCTTTTTTTTCCCTTTAGCTCCATAACTAAGGGTCTTGGTGTTTGGACAGAAAGATGTGAGAGCTCTCTTGGACCCTGCACGAGTGCTGCTGTTACACTGATGTCTTTCTGTGAAACACCACTAGTTGTCACAGGTAGCACAAAAGCTCACCAGAGAGAGGGAAGAAATTAAAAAACTTCAGGGTGTTTTTCTTGCCTGTAAAGTCAATGCATAGAAGATAGTCCTCTCTTCTCCCCTGTACACCCAAAACCATTAGGCATTGAAGAGACAATCATCTTAATTGTCCCTATTTTTTTTCTATAGTGAGATGTGTTTGGGTATAAAATTACACCAACTTAACTTTAAATTTGATATGCATGCTGCTTTTGTCATCAGTGTACAACTTCTCTTGTGAATGTTTTGAAAATACATTTAAGCCAACTTCTATATGCATATGTCCAGAGTCCAGCTAACTGAACAGTGTTTTGTATTCATCTAATCTAAACTACACTGAGTTTACAACTGTTTATGAATAAGTTTCTAGACAGACTGGTGCTAAACTTCTGCTTTCTGGCAAATGCTAAGATTTGACATAATCCTCCAGTTTCAAATTTCATCAGCAGTAGAAGTTTCTGTGTGAAAACACTCATATAATTTCAAAAGTTTTGCTTCTGATTCTTAGATATGAATACAAATATGTTCTTGACAAATTCTGTCCCTCTCTTACGTTCACCTGATAGGGATGGACACGTTTATAGTTGTGATATAATAAACTGGTGGTCCTGCCCATATACAGCTTGTGAATTCTGCTTGAAGTGGTTACGCTCTTAGTATGAAAACAATCTGGCATATGGTGCCTCTACATGGCATCCAACGTTACTGACAAAGGTTGCAGGATGTCTTTCCCAGACCAGAAAAACCAGTCAGCTGTTAAATACTTCCGGGACAAGGATTAACTAACTCCTAGAAGAGTTAGTTAACCCCAGATCTTTCTGCCAGAAGCTGGCAAAATGCAGCACTCGCAGACTGTATCAATAAAGAAGCTGCAGCTACAAAGCACGTGGGCATGAAAGAGCCAGCGGCAAAGGGAAATAATGAACAGGAGTTTGGAAATTTTGGGTAGTGGGGACATTTTTGCTTAGTTTCAGGTTAAGCCTGACTCACTATAGATAACCTCAGCTAGGAAGACTCTGAGATTTCAAAGGGCTCTTGATTCAGTCTAAAAATTCTGGAACAAGAATCCCAAAAGTCAAAGAATTCCTTTCTTTCTTCTCCTTCCTCTTTCAAACCCAGTTAACTTTTGAGAACAAATGTTGAGAAAATGTTCTTATCCTGACAGTATTAAAGTTTAAATGCCTAATCTTTGTACATCTGTAACTGATCTTTGGCCATGTTGCATATAAGGTACTTGGGAACGGCTCCAGGAAAAGGGTTATGGTAGATACAACATTCTATTACCACTCAGCCATGCTGACAGACAAAGCTGAGCTGTAAGATACAACGAAACACACAGAGCTTGTTGGCAGTTAGGGCTGAAATGGTCTCTCACAGTTTAGCAGCGTGGGATGGCTCAGCCAACCCAAACGTGCTGCCGGAGCCTATGTGAGACTCTGCTCTTGACCTGAGACTTGATACGTCAATGAACGATCTCAGTTCCCATCCCCATCTTCTTTTCTTCACTCCCTTTCTCTTCTCACTATACTTTGTCTTAGGCATGGACCAAGGGCACCAGCATGTAAAGGGTGTTTAGCTCCTACTTTAGTATGACCTACTGCATCTGTCTTTCTACATTACTATTTAATCTGGATGTAAGGGGGAATTTTGGATGTTAGCTGCCCAGTCAGAAAGGTAACCCCTGATCAAAGTCTCAGAACAAAGACTAGAAAGCATGCGCAAACCTAACACAGCCCAGGCACAATTCTCTATCCCCTGGTACATGGCTCATGCAGCCTGTGTCTTATTTGGATTGCATTGATCCTTCTGTGGAAACACCCAAACAGAATTAAGCAGACTTTTGGGGGTAGGAGCATAACAAGCAAATCTGTTGCAAATGGTGGAAACTTGTGTCTCTTGTTTATATGTCATGGGGCTGAGACTTCCTCTTAAGTATCTAGAGCAGTTCAACTGGTTACCTATGACTTACAAGTTTTCTGAGAATGGATTAAAGCTATTGAGGCTAGAGCTGTATTTTGGAAACTGGTACCTCAAAGTGAAAGGAGATGCTAAAAGAAGAATGAGGAGTTAACTATAGTTTTCCAGTTCTAGAAAACCGAGGAAATACCAACTGGATGCAACATTATGCCAGAGGCATGTACTAACAAAGGGAAGTAGAGGATAGTAACATCAGTTGCTAATTCTTCACTCAACATTGGGCTCTAAAGATGAAGTCTGGTTATGGATTTTAACTAAACCATCATTTCAGATTAAACAACCAAAATTGAGCAAGCAATGTTCTATTCTGAAACAGTTCAAGAAGCTTATCTTCCAACTTCTGCTCAGCAAGATATCCTTACAGTTCTCACATTCTTGTTTGCATAACCAGGCTTCTGTAGGAGAGATATAAGGTACCATTACTGAACATACTTACATGCTTATAGCCTCATGGTTAAAGCAATTTCCTTGAGTGAGAACCACCCTGAAGCTTCTCAGACTGAAGAAGCTTAGGTACTCAAGTCTTCCACTTCCTTTAACGGTTTAACTGGGTCATAATATCAGAGACCTCTCCTTTCCTTGGCTAAAGTCTGAAAGATGATGTCCATGGCTAGTACGCCCTGTACTAGACCCAAAGCTGAGCTCTGCTAGAAATGCTCCATGCAGGCTTCCCTGAGGAGGCCTGCTTGAGGCCGTGTTCTTCATATTGATCTCCACAACATCTGCAATGTCTCTGCAGGGCTCCTCACCCTGGGGCGCTCCTGTACAATGGCTTAAAGGTACTGGGAGCAGCAGCAGAAATGGTGGTGCCACAGGGGCTTCTGACTGAAGGAAAGGCCATTTGGATCAGATTTTGGGGACTTGGCTGCCTAAAATCTACTGAAATTCACCTGAATAGATAAACGTGTCTCAATCTCATTATTCGGTTCTTGAGTCCCTTCCTGCCATCTAAATAAGAGAGACTCCCTCTTCTGTTTTCCCTATATATTCAAATGTCACAATTCTGTAGGGAACTGAGAGTCATTCCTACTTCTTGGACAAAGTGCAGAACAAGTAAAATATCCTCACCTAATACTCTAATATCACTAGTTTTTTCTTCACTCATGGCAACAATTATGGGCATCTTTCCCAGAGGCTTGTGATACACACTGACTGTGAAGGGCTATTTGTATTTGGCGCTTGGTAAAATATCTCAGGAAAAAACCCTAAGACCTTCAAAGAGCACCCATTTTCGTTTAATCTGACAGAAAGCCTCCTGACAAGGAGTTTGTTTGCAATATTTATCTAGGTCATAAAAAAGATCTTGAAAGATATATCACAAACAGTAAGCCTTTGTTCTTAGGCTGGCCACATAAAGACCAACTGTTGTGAAAATTTGTTTTGCTGCTGTTATCTGATGAGATCAAATCTACTTACTGAAACAAAAATAAAGCTCCGAGCTTTTGCCTAGGCTCTAAGCCATCATAATATATGCATTTGTGCTCATAAAAAGCTATGCAGTGTAAACACACTTTTCTTCATGGGGCCCCTCTAGCCAATTACAATCTTAAAAAGAAACAATTTCATTCATCAGGTGATTAATGAATGTGCCCCTTCCCACCCCCTCAGCCTCTCCCTGAAGTTGCTGGGATGCCTAACTCAAATATAGTATTTTCCAATGTAAAATCAGGAGGCATGTTCTAAGGCAAGTGAGTACTGTGACAGTTTCTATCATTGATGGGGAAAACCCAAAACAATAAGACATTTAATGACCTGACAGAGCAGAAGGATCATAAAAAACAGCCACTGGTTTGGGTAATCAGAAGCTACCTATGGGATGTAATGATCTAGCTCCTGTTCATCATCTAGATTTATTTTTGTTTTAATATCCCCTCAGGTTATATGTTGAGATGCGGACATACACAGATAGTATGATTCCTCTATTCCTGTTATAACAGTTCTTTAAAAGAATGCAGTCTCCAGAAGGATGGGAAAATAAACTTGAAAATGTAGACTAAAACATGCTCTGGGCTATTTCTTGGGGTGGCAGCAGTAAACTAGATAGGCACAGGGAGGGTGCTGTATCCCCAGACTCCAGCCCCTGGCCCCAGCTCAGTTGTTTTTAGCAGCTAGCACTGTTTGGAGTGTCTCCCTCCTGAGTGGAGCCAGCCTGCTCTTTTCCCTGCCTGAGCAGCCAGTGGAGATGGTTGTTCCCGTGAAGTGCCCAGTGCTGGGCACTGGTCCATCTGCCAGCCTCAGGCAGCCCAGGCTCCTCTGCCCCTGCGTCTGTCAGGGGACGATGAAGGCAGAGAGAGTCTCAGGTAGGCTTGAGAAGAGGACCAACAAGGTTTTTTATGCTACTCCAGGTCCTAAGGAAATTAACTTATTGAGGATTCAGTGAGGATAGAGAATATAGCGAATAATCCTGTTTTGTTCTTTT